GGTTGTGTGTATTTTGTTATTATTTTTTTTTACCTATTTTGATTTGTTCACATTATTGTCGTCAAATTTGAAATAAGAATTAAAGAAGATGTAAAATCGCTTAAAATTAAGAAAAATAGCCTCTGGTTCTCTTATTTTAGTAATTTTTGCATTCCAAAGTGTAGGAGTATGGGGAAAGTAATATAGCTTTGCGGTTATTTGTGAACATTTTTCAATACGTTTAGCCTTTCAGTAATTTCAATACTTTGATTATATATTTAAAATGCATGACTGATTGCTGGCAAGATTCCCTAGAGATACACTGCATACAGACCACAATAGCTCAGAAGTGTTACGTCATCCTAAGAAGTATATAATGATTTTCTATCAATTGAATGCCTGAATCCTAGACGTCCAAACGTAGAATTGTGGTTTGTACATTGACTAAAATATGTTTAATTGTTCCTGTCTTCATGATTCTTAATTTCTTATTTATTTAATTACCTTTAACTTTTAACTGGACTGTCAGCACTACATGAATACTATTTGCAAATCCCGAACATAAACTGTAAGTCGATTTGAATTAGAATTACTTTCTGGATCTACAAAAAATTCCTTCTATTTTGATAAAGCAATTTGTTTGTTAACAATAAAATACAAAACACATGGTTTAAAATGCTTATAAATGTACATAGATGTCTCATCTGAAAGAAGTTTATTTACTACATGGTTTAAAGAATAAGTTACATGATTTATCTGCCAGCAGAGTTCGGAGTAGATTTAGAACTTCTGTAGAACAATTTTAACGTTTTTTTTTATATATATCATGTTGTTTTTTTTTATTATTATTATTTTCGTGATCTCCTATCGTTGATCTCTTCGATTGATATGCCCATGGATAAACAAGCTGTTAAAAGTGGCGCAATTGTACCGCATTCGTCTTTCACATATCCTTCCGGGCTTCGATTCCCGGAACGGACGTGAGAAGGTAAGGGTCACCTGCCCGACTACGTAGTTTTCCCCGGGTACTCCGGTTTCCTCTCACAATAAGACCCCTCGCGCGCGCTTACATCAGTGCCAACAAGTGTGGTTAGTTGAAAGATAAAACATAACCTGTTTCGCAATAGTTGCAAAATAAATAAAGTTAATATTACATATTTTTTTTTCATATTTTACTCCGTCTCTTGATATCGTTTATAGTTTTCTGCTTTCTAATCGAAGACATTCTGTATAAATATCTACATTATGTCTACTTATAGAAATAAAAGATTGTATTTACAGCTTGAAGTTCTATGTTATTCGTAAACTTTCTGTAACAATAAAGACAGTTTAGTCGGATTAGAGTGGAGAGAACGTTTTAACTCTTTTTAAAGAGTTTCGTCGTTGTGAAAGATAATCTTTTCTGGTTTGCTGGAAACGGAATACCATTAAGTAATTATACGAGTTTTATGTTCGCCTCTTAATTATTTTCATTATCGATGGCCCGTAAGTACCTTCTTGTATGTGTCTTACCCCTTCTTTCACAACATAGCATCCTTCTAAGCCGAATAGGATTCCATGATATTAATATCAGTTGTAAAAAGGCACCGAGAGGTCATTTATCAGTAATATATATATATAAAGAAAATTGTTAAAAAACACACAAGAAAAAGTTAAGCTAGCATATTGCATTATATATATACATGTATAACCCAATGATGAATAATGTAAAAGTGTTACTGTTTGGTTAAAAACATCATCTGCCCGCAGATAAAACATTGCTTCCCTGCCGACATTTCCATGCAGCACGTGTTTCATTTCCTCCCTGTTCCATCCTAGTTGTCTCCCGTTTGTTTATGCCATCGACAGACGAACAATGGGGAAATTTATGTTATTGTACAACACATAGGAATCGATGTCATTTGATAAAATAAAGCCCCATAGACTATAAAGAAAAACAACCAATGTTTCACTGACCTCTTTCTGAGAACTTCTAAAAGAAACCGGCAAGAACTGAACTTCCAATCATACCAAACCGGACAAGTGAACCTTGTCATCATTACTAGATTTTCGTTACATTGTTGTTTATTAGATAATGCTAGTTTTAATTCAGGAAGTGTGTTTGATTTTGATAGAATATATAAATAATTTATAGTCCGGTTGAAAGGAAATATAAAGGTTTCTTAACCCTCAAAATTTCTTTGACGCCCTTGCTAAGTATGATACCTTGAGGAAAATCAACTTTCAAATTCCCCTTCAATTGAGGCCATATATATCGCAGTTACGGGTCTATAGGTGTCATTTTGTGTCTTAAGGTAAAACTGGATGTTAGGGGAGAAGTTTGGATCTAAGAATTAAAAGCAAAAAAAAAAATAATAATAAACAGAACATTCGAGATATAAGCTGACATTTAAAAATAAAAAATGAGATCTAGATCGCATTTCGAATATCGGCTGATTTGTGATGGCATCTGATAAAGTTAGTTACAGTTTCAGCTCCATATGTTAATAAGTCTGGTATTTAACTCCTTCCTCTTTAGAGAGTTATCTCTCTTTGACAATAAAGACGGCTCTGAATGAGGAAAAAAAGAAGTTTTCAACTGTTTGGTAAGAGTTTCCGTGTGATTGACAAACTTATTCTCTGCTTCGCTGGAAATAGAATGCCATGAATTAATTTTATGATTTTCATGTTTGGCCCTGAATGAAGAATCTAATGTTTTCTTTCACAAAATAACTGTCTTTTACGTTACTAAACAATGGTCGAATTAGGATTGAGAAAAACTGGATAATTGATCAAAGAATTAAATCCAATGTCTTATACTGTAGGAGAAAAAAAATGCTTAATATCAACCAAAAAAATACACTTAGCCAAATACTTTGACATATCTTGAGAGTCTGCGTCATATAAACTGCTGCAACAGATTATTTTTTGTGCAAAAATAGTTTTTTTAAGTATACATTAGTGTGTCCATTTTGTTTTTTAACATTCTGAGTCACTGCTGTTCTTGGTCATCGTCACACTTGTCTTATTGTATGTTAATGTATCTAGCAAGCCAAATTTGAAGATGTTTTATCAGATTATATGAACTATTACATAACAGAATATAGCTGGCACAGTGACCATAAGATTGGTACAATGACCATAAGATTGGCACAATGACCATAACATTGGCACAATGACCATAACATTGGCACAATGACCATAACATTGGCACAATGACAATAAGACTGGTACGATGACCATAAGATTTGTACAATGACCATAAGATTGGTACGATGACCATAACATTGGCACAATGACAATAAGATTGGCACAATGACAATAAGATTGGCACAATGACCATAACATTGGCACAATGACAATAAGATTGGCACAATGACAATAAGATTGGCACAATGACCATAAGACTGGCACAATGACAATAAGATTGGTACAATGACCATAAGATTTGTACAATGACCATAAGATTGGCACAATGACCATAAGATTGGCACAATGACCATAACATTGGCACAATGACCATAACATTGGCACAATGACAATAAGATTGGCACAATGACAATAAGATTGGCACAATGACCATAACATTGGCACAATGACAATAAGATTGGTACGATGACCATAAGATTGGTACGATGACCATAACATTGGCACAATGACAATAAGATTGGCACAATGACAATAAGATTGGCACAATGACAATAAGATTGGCACAATGACCATAACATTGGCACAATGACAATAAGATTGGCACAATGACAATAAGATTGGCACAATGACCATAAGATTGGTGACAATAAATTGGCACAATGACAATAAGATTGGCACAATGACCATAACATTGGCACAATGACAATAAGATTGGCACAATGACAATAAGATTGGCACAATGACCATAACATTGGCACAATGACAATAAGATTGGCACAATGACAATAAGATTGGCACAATGACCATAAGACTGGCACAATGACAATAAGATTGGTACAATGACCATAAGATTTGTACAATGACCATAAGATTGGCACAATGACCATAAGACTGGCACAATGACAATAAGATTGGTACAATGACCATAAGATTTGTACAATGAGCATAAGATTTGTACAATGACCATAAGACTGGTACAATGACCATAACATTGGCACAATGACCATAACATTGGCACAATGACAATAAGATTGGTACAATGACCATAAGATTTGTACAATGACCATAAGATTTGTACAATGACCATAAGATTGGTACAATGACCATAAGATTTGTACAATGACCATTTGTACAATGACCATAAGACTGGTACAATGACAATAAGAATGTATACCCATCTTTAAAGATATCCTGTTAGATTATTAGTACTAAGTGGCGACTGTTTTGCCGTGTGTCTTGGAAGATGAACGAAATATCTATACTAAAACTTCCTTAGACCTCTGTACCCATGACGATGTTAATAACGATTGTCACCTAAATATATTTTATGACATAGTCGAACTTGATCATGCTTATTGACATAATTACATAAAATTATGATAAAATTACTATCAACAAAGACAATGAATTGCCATAAAACAGATCCTGGATTTCCAAGTACGACAGCGCACTCCAGCAGTCGAAAGTATTTGAACAGAAAACAAAGGGTTAAGTAAACACTCTCTTTCAAGAAGTAAGGGAGCTGTATCTTGTCACCAGTTGATTTTGTTCCGCTGTACATACATATATCAAATAGCACAGAGAATGTATTCGATAGAAGATTAGAAGATAGTGTTGTTAATGCCAATGGTGCTTTTGCCTGTATGTTTGTTAAGATTTAACATCACTTGTTTAAAGCTGAGGTGGCTTCGCTATCTCTAGAAGGTTATTGTCTTACGTTTTCAATCTGTACGAGAAAATGAGGAACGTAAAGTATATATATGAAACAACGGACACAGTAAAACCAGGAAACAATACATATTTATTTCAAATTAAATACAAAGCAATATGATACAGCTCTTTTCTTTATAGCACATAATTGATGAAATTATGATCTAGAATGTTTGGCACAAATTACTAAGTATACCACTAGCCTATCTATCATACACGTCATTCTGCATACACCGCGAACACCATTCCGATGACGTAGTACCCAGACTTGTGAACCGTGACAGAAACATGATTGTCGTACCGCTGATCCCACAGACACCTAGACGAAACTAACATACTTGCATCATGCTCCCCTCTTTCTCCAACAAGTACCGAACTCACAATTTTGTACCGTGGAAGCGTCATTTGCTGTTTCACTTTTTCTTTTATCATGTCACTCGCTAAAACACAAAGTTTACTCATAGACGCTGGGTCGTATTTTTTCAAAGTCATTTCGGATTGTATAACGTCAGTTATGATTTTTCTTACCGGTGTCTCGTAAAACATGAAGTCAGGCTGTAGTTTGTATGTATTTTCTAGTTTAACCCCCATCATTGGCTGAATATCATCGGAAGTGGCCACACTTCTCTTGTCTGCATTGTGAGCACTTTTTCCAGACACTATAGAATGAGCCGTATCTCGATGAACCAGGGTTCCCGCTCTTGGACGAATAGGATGAGATGACGTCGTGGGACTGCTTTTGTCACCATGGTGATGACCTTTTTGGTGACCTCCGTCGTGACTTGGCTTGTGATGACTGTCCTTTCTGGCTCTGTGATGAACAGACGGACTTCCTTCCTGCCCACCTTTGGCATGATCATCTTTCTGGTGACCATCCTGGCCCTTTTTAGAGTGATCACCATGCCCCACCTTTTCCTTTTCCTTCATGGTTTAATGGGTTGGCAAACGACGATGTGTAATAGCCCTGTAAATTAGAAAAATATTTTTTCCAATAAATAAGAACATATTTGATGAGAAAAAAACATCGTTAATGGCTTTTGTTTTCATTATGGCATCAATGGTCAGCTTAAATATTAATTTTCAGTTTGCTCCCTTTAGATAACGTTCTGCATCATTAAAGATCATGTTTTAAATTCAATACATGACCCTGATCGTTTTATTTTTTTGCAATACATATCTATATTACATTTAATATAGAGATTTTTACTATCAACGATGGTGTAAGGTTGTATGCCTGACTTACGATTTAATAGGAAAAATTCATTCCTGTAAAAGTCGCAACACTGAAACTAAGGAATAATCTTAGGACAATGAAGAATAAAAAAACGAAATCATTGGTCAACGGCTAAAGCTCAATCTCCCCAACCATGTAATTCGACAGATGATAACGGTTAATTAAGTTTAATCAAGCGTAGTCAATAGTATCACGTGAATTTTCCAACAATTTATACTGGATATAATCGATATACATTATAAATCAGATGACGTGTATGATCCCGAACACACTGCCAACAATAACAACCATTGGTAGCCTTTGACCTAATGCAAATTCCCTGCCAATTTAAAATATTTGTGCTTTTAAATTTTTTTTTCTAACAATACTTTGCTGAAGAATGCAACCAAAACTTATTTCAATTCATGTATGTCAGGTGTACAAATTGACAGAAGAATATCGCCATTTGTCTTCACATGATGAACTTTAAAAGCATATGATACAATTATTTTAAACTTTTAGGCATGGCAAGGAATATTTCCGGATTACTATATTAAGTTTTACATACTATCTTAATCAAAACAAACTAACGTTTCGCTACGTGGCATCCATGGCTAGTATTACTAACATGGCTTACAATAGAGCAATGGGACAAACACCAGATACACATACATGCATCACAACTTAAATTAGCCATTGACTCATCAATTACCCAATGATCGATATAACTGCACCATCAAGTGATGCAATCGGCCAAGCAATGTGGAACGTTACCGTTAGGAGCAAACTTTGCTTGCAGGAAATAATACTTGCTCTGTCCTAAAATCAACATTGAGAGTGAAAATAGAGACCGAGTTAATGAAGAGACGAATTCCGTTATCTTTCTACAGCTGAAATGACAAACACAGTAATAGCATTATCAGACTGTATAATGGAAGTCCCATATAAATGGCATGAATCCGGATGTCAATGAACCTAAAGACAGTTTAATGGGTACCTATCTTTTTAATATTAGGTTATCAATACAAATATGTAACGATATTTCAAATTTAAGTATCATTTTTTGTCTAAATTGTATCAGCTGTATTTTTTTTTAAAAAGATTGACTTCATATTTTATGAAGGTAACTAATTTCAATGTATACAATATCATTTTGGAGACTTATTTTTGTCATTAAAAATAAATCAAATTACATTCTTTCGGGAAATTTGATTTCTAATCTGTAACAAAAGTACTTGTGTGAGTTCAACCACTCAAAAACATGTACTACAAACGGCAAAATAATGCCACATAAATGAACAAGGAAATATACATATATTCTTTTGGGAGTATTAATGTTAAAATGAGTTTAAAGTCCATTCAAAGCCAGCCCCTTTGTTGATTTACCGGTGTCAGGTGAGAATGATAACACTGATTACGTTTCTATTCAAGTCACTTCTCAATAACACACCAACGGTATGTGTCAACACGCGGCGATAGTGTATTCCACGTATATTATAGATTACACATTGATTTCTACCTGGCTATTTGTCACTGATGTATGGAGTCTTTACTGAAGTAGCCAGTTCTAATCCGAGTAACCCTACCTACAGCTGGAAATGCAAGCATACTTCTTATTCTGACGTTGAAAGATTATCGAATAGTAAGATACAGAAAATTGTAGTAATCAGTTTTGACAGTAAATAGTTTCAGGACGTCTGTTTTCAGACAATGTTTAATCCGGTGTCATTTTAAAGTAATCTTACAATAAATACATTTGGCAATGTTTGTTTTGTTCTGGTTCTACAATGAACTGAGAAGTGTTATTTGCTGGTAACTTACAAATCATTAGAGAAATGTAGATACCATGATCTATTCAGACTTTTGAAACCTTTTGTAGATTTTCCTTCTTTTCAAAATTATGTTCTGAATAATTCGCAAAAACTCATAGCAAAGGCACATCTACAATCCTAAAGATTGTTATGATAATTTTAGTTATTTTCGATTATTCAATTCATTGAAAATTAAATTAATAGTGAAAATAATACACTTTTTAATCATGAAATACATCTTTTTTTCCTGGTACATCCACGAAATTGTTTAACCTGTAAATAACAAGTTACGGTAAATCATCCGTTGTTTTATGATGTCCGATTCATGTATTGCACAAATATTCAATACCTAAGCTCATCTGATCAACACGTGTCCTTAGTAAATACAGTGTGATCCAAGACAATCTTAAGATTAGAAATACTAGGCACAAGTTTTCCATGTGACGATGACCAGATGTCCCTCATTACTGTGATATATCCATATGGAAGAGAGAGACTAGTATGGCTCTTTATTATACTTCATACCTGTATTTTCAGTCTACCTTCAACCCACTTCTTTACTGTGCACTCTGTTGTATTATTAATTCATTATGAAGATTCCTTCGGAGCATATTATGGTATTTTCCTCTTTAGTTGTACCGAATGCAGTAAAACCTTTATCATCATGGCAATCTTCACCAAACACCAATTATATAGACATGTCCTGTCTTCACAGACTATGATATAAATTAGTGTCAAATCGCTCAAAAAATATAAACCTATTACTTTCTGACGCGTGCAAATAGGATATTAAAGTGATAACATTCATGTTTAAAAATACATTTTAGTCACAAAGAAACGTAATTTACTTTAATGTATAGAATTGAATCTCTCCAAGAAAGGCAACGATGATCCATAAGAATAATAAAAAAATGTTAAAGTTCTTGATACTAAATTTACTTATAAATAAAATGCATTACTACACTGATAAAGGCTACTTAGTGGTAAAACGAATGGCTACAGTGATGAAGGGTTACTGGCAATATAAAATGAATGGCTACACTGATGAAGGGTTACTGGCAATATACATTGAATGGCTACAGTGATGAAGGGTTACTGGCAATATACATCGAATGGCTACACTGATGAAGGGTTACTGGCAATATAAAATGAATGGCTACACTGATGAAGGGTTACTGGCAATATAAAATAAATGGCTACACTGATGAAGGGTTACTGGCAATATACATTGAATGGCTACACTGATGAAGGGTTACTGGCAATATACATTGAATGGCTACACTGATGAAGGGTTACTGGCAATATACATTGAATGGCTACACTGATGAAGGGTTACTGGCAATATCAAATGAATGGCTACACTGATGAAGGGTTACTGGCAATATCAAATGAATGGCTACACTGATGAAGGGTTACTGGCAATATAAAATGAATGGCTACACTGATGAAGGGTTACTGACAATATAAAATGAATGGCTACACTGATGAAGGGTTACTGGCAATATACATTGAATGGCTACACTGATGAAGGGTTACTGGCAATATACATTGAATGGCTACACTGATGAAGGGTTACTGGCAATATACATTGAATGGCTACACTGATGAAGGGTTACTGGCAATATACATTGAATGGCTACACTGATGAAGGGTTACTGGCAATATAAAATGAATGGCTACACTGATGAAGGGTTACTGACAATATAAAATGAATGGCTACACTGATGAAGGGTTACTGGCAATATACATTGAATGGCTACACTGATGAAGGGTTACTGGCAATATACATTGAATGGCTACACTGATGAAGGGTTACTGGCAATATACATTGAATGGCTACACTGATGAAGGGTTACTGGCATTATACAATGAATGGCTACACTGATAAAGGGATACTTAGTTGTCTAACGAATGGCTACACGGATGAAGTGAAAATCAATGTCGTAGCTAACTCTGATACTTTTATTTCAATATTTTCTTAATTCTTGGTATATCCTTTCCTATCACCCTCATTTCAAACTTCTTCGTTCCCAGATATCCCTGTTTACAGCCTTATTCGTTCCGATATACCCCGGTGTACAGCCTTATTCGTTCCCAGATATCCCTGTGTTCAACCTTATTCGTTCCCTGATAACCGTGTGTACAAACTTCTTCGTTCCCAGATATCCCTGTGTACAACTTTATTCGTTCCCAGATATCCCTGTGGACAAACTTCTTCGTTCCCAGATATCCCTGTGTTCAACCTTATTCGTTCCCAGATAACCGTGTGTACAAACTTCTTCGTTCCCAGATATCCCTGTGTACAACCTTATTCGTTCCCAGATATCCCTGTTGACAAACTTCTTCGTTCCCAGATACATCTGTGTACAAACTTATTCGTTCCCAGATATCCCTGTGTACAAACTTCTTCGTTCCCAGATATCTATGTGTACAAACTCCTTCGTTCCCAGATATCCCTGTTTACAACCTTATTCTTTTCTAACCAAATTAGTTATTTTACTCCTTCATCCATCAATACTTAAAGCCCTCCATCGTTGCATGTCTCCTTTTGCTCCAGCTACTCCCGTTCTTCACGTCTCTCCTTTTCCAAGCTACATCCGTTAATTTCTCTTTTTGTTCTCAACCATCAACATGGTTATCTTAGCAATCCTTATATGCTGCCAGCCTTGATCGTAGTCATCTTCGTTTGTGAGTTCTTTTCTTTCTCAGCCGCCTTTGTTCCATTTTCCCTTCATTCTTGGTAGTTACATTCGTTCGTTCTTTCCTTAGCGGATATACTTCGTACATAATAGCCAATACTCAGTAAGTCACTGAATACTAGCTTAGTTTTGTAGACCCTGGTTCGGTTAAATAGGCCCTTTTTATCTATTATTTTTATACACTGTCCTTTGGCGTCATTTTATTATGATATTAGAGCTCTGTTATAGATAAAACCAGACAATTGTTAAAAGACAAGTTATCTCTATAATTCATTGAATATAGGAGGACACATTCTAATTTGTTACGAAGTGGTTGCATTTAAACATTGATATCAGCATCGCTGACCATTTTCAAAAATATTTCTCTTGTAGGCTAAATCTTTAGCAAGGGATGCATTATTGAGATTATTCTACAGTATGTGAAATTGTCAGGTTTAGACGTAGCAGGAAACTTCACTGGTTGTGAAATAGCCTTCAAACTGACCAAACAATCGATAAAGGCAAGTTTAATAATCACAATGGAATAAGACAAGGTGTTCTGGGAGGGTAAGCGTCCTCTTCTTCATCGGCGATGTAAATCTCGGTCATACCAAGTAATGTTACGTGGAAATAAAAATTCACATCAACGAAACAACCAGGTTTACTCATGTCGACAACGAAGTAAAATTCAAAGCAACAAAGCAACGAAACAGCCAGATGTACTGTACTCACATCGCACAAGGAAATCAAATGTATAGCAATTCACCAATGAAGCTTAATCACATCACATACGGAAATAAACATAAAATTATATTTTCTCGTTTGTATGTTTGAAGAATTAAATGTGATATTCAGGTTTGTAGATACAAAAGAGCACTCGGTTGTAATCAAACATGAGAAAGTGTAATGGTCTGTGAAGCAGGTAATTGATAACCAATAGACGTATACATATACACGAAAAGCAACTTTTGAATACACGTTTATATTTAATTGTCACACATCTAAGGAATTATTTACATGGAAATGGGACACTTAAATGGAAGTCAGATAGGACATATGACAAATGTCAAGTAGGCTGAAAATCTTTCACAGAATGCCGTGTAAAGGTAATTTAAGGACACGGGTATTATCAGTACGGAGGTACGGACGGGTCTAACACTAGGGCTTAGTGGTTATAATAATATGAAAGTGTGGTCTTCAAACATCACATCAGAGGGATGTTCTGAGACGTACAAAGCACATACAATATGAAAGGTTTATAAAGAACACTTCTATTTCTAAGGTATAAAGACACATATTGTTCCGGTGTAAATTTCTAGCGTGGGTATTGATAACACTATTTGTCACAAACTCCACCAAAGTGAGTTGATAAATTCTTATAAGAGTTATCATAAGTATAAACAGCTTATCAGGCGCAGCATACTGAAAATACAGTTAACAATAATAAGAGAGAACCATGTATATACTCGTAAGTATTTAAGACACTTTTCGAAAGGATGACGCAAAAGACACAAAAGTGATTAACACATATCGATGCAAATTTAAAGTTAGATACACTACGAGCCAAATAATGAACTAACTTGCATCATTCAGCTATTTCGTCTTTCTAGTGATGGTATGGGTCTAAATTGTCTAAATTAAACAAATGAGGCGACTGAGGAAAATCTAGACTGGTCAAATAAACATCAAGAAAATACTACATGGCAACACATTCATAATCCAAACTCAAATTCCATGAAACTAGGACAAAATATGAACAGAAGAAAGATTTACTAGGAGTCTCCTGAAAAAGTACAAGGAGGATAAGACCAGGTGTTCCGGAAGAGTAAGCGTCTTCTGCTTCAACGACGACACCGGTTATGTAAACCTTGGTCAATTCGAGTAATTAATGTTACCTTCTCAAATGAGAACAAGGTATACAACAACGGAACTAACAGGCAAACTAACAAGTATCAAACACGTTCAGCTTCATATCACACAAATAAATAGAATCTTTCTCAATGTGATCACTCTTCTAGATCTCTGTGTTACGAGTTTGTCCGGCAATTGACGAGTTCTTACACGAAAATCAGGATCGTGAGAACAGACCTTTAAATATCGAATCAACTGTGACATGTAAATATCATAGGTTGGAGATGCAGGGATATTGCTATGCAGAAAAGAAAAAATCACAATAGTGAAATTGAAATCATCATAGTAATCGTACTTCTTGGTAGAAAGTTTTTTAAGTTTCGTTGTAGGAAAAGATCGAGATAAGCAGCTGATGTAGAAGAGTCTGTCGTGTCTTTGATTTCCAATTCTTGTTGATATATACTATTATATGGACATGATCATTTTAATTTTTTTTATTATTATTATTTAAAGACAAGACGTCATCAATATATTTGAAAGTGAAAATGTACGACTTTGCAAGGTCTTTGTAGGCTGTTTTGATGAGTACTTCAATAAATTCAACCTCGTATGAAAACAAAAACCAGTCAGCTAACAGAGGGGCGCAGTTAGTTCCCATTGTTATGCAAATAGTCTGTTGGATGATCTTATCACCAAACTCGACGAAGATGTTATCAAGCTGAGGCTCGATCATTTCTATGATTTCGTACTCTGTATATTTCTTCTTCTTTGATTTGAAAGTATTTTTACGCTTCAGTGTAGTACACAATCTTATATTCACCGCCGTTCACCTTTCTTGGAGAAGAAAGCTCTCATAACTAGAGAACTGAGGCGTTCCTTCAGTTTAGAATGGGGTATGTACAGGGTAGAAAAATCAAAATTCTTTTAGAAGAAATGTTTTAGAAGAGGATGCTGAAGATTGGTCAGAAGCTCTCTGGACTTCTTCATAATCCACATACTATTAATTTCACCTCTTAAGTAAACAGTATTACAATAAGACTGTAAGCCAGATTTGATAGTACTTAGAATGGTGGATAATAGTTTTGACAAAGGCTTGGTTTAACAGCTAGACGAGCCAGCAATAAAACGTTGTTTATATGGATTCTTGTGAAGTTTAGCGATTAAATATAAACAAGGGAGGTCCGTATCCTTATTATTAATTAGGCATTCTAAATGATTGTAATACCAAAACATGATTAGTTCGTCTTTTAAAAGATTGCAAATAATATGTTAAAATCTAGATGAGAAAGTCATTAACCTCAAAATTCCATAAATTTTGTACTTTTTTTATATACCATCATATAAATGCACCAACAGTTATATGCGTGATGACTCACATGACTTTGAATTATAAAATAGACATAATATGCCTTTAGTAATCGAAATATCACAGTTTTATTAAACAGATATTAAATTTCCTAACTAATGAAATTAAGATATGACTTACCTGTAATGTTCTCAATTGTATTTACAAAATCCAATGTTGTTTACTAAAGTATAAGGCTGAGGGGTTTGTTTCGGTGAGTTAGAAGGAAATTGAATATGAAATAGTCGTCGGCAAAACACGAGAATAATATAAAACGCAGAAGTTGATTGTCATCCAAAAATACATATTTCGAAGCGGTAAGATGTTCCACTAAGTTTAGTAGAGTTCAACAATAGCTAATTTAACATCCTAACGATACTTAGCTCTTCAGATACATGAGCTAACATTAGAAAGAATAAAATCTAAGGAAAACCACCAAACAATTATCTAATGGAATTTTTCGTCATTGAAACTACACGCGTCATCAATGCAAATTTTAAAAAGTCTGGCTGATTTAAGATATGACTGGAGTGTGTTTGGATGCTTGATTGTCAGAAATGATTGGAGTGTGTTTATATATGAATGACAGAGATTAGTTCTGATAACAAGTCATCGTAAGCACGTACTTCCCTTCCTCAGCAGGCACCAGTGCTCTCAGTGTTGACAAACTTGTTATCCAAGTACCGGTATATTATTTCAAGTGGAGTGTTTGGATAAAGCTATCTTCGAGTGGTTCTCATAGAAGGAATACTTAGACACCGTTACTAGTGGAAACATCAGGGAATCAAAGTATGCTGTGGATTCTTTAGTTTTTTAACACATTGCATCCATTTTTCAAAATTAAGAAGACGCAATTAAAACTTAACTTTTAATGAAATAAAAATCACCAACTTACATAAGCACATTTGATTTTATAGTGATGAAAACTGAGCTGTTTGCCCTTTAACACATGAAGTCATTGAATGATATAGCGACTTACCTTTGTATGAGTAAAGGCAATATTGTGTAGCTGTTCTATCCTGGTGTAATTCCGCCTCGGTCACAAATCATACAGACTTTCCATGGCCAGAGATCTGGGATATAGTCTAGATTACAGGTAACAAGGCACGGTCGTCGGCTATCTTGCTACCTGCTTTGGAATCAATTAATCAGTGCTACTTGATTAACATGTAGCACCTGTCTTGGGTGATGTGTCGAGTACTGAACGGGTATCGACGGAGGCTTATCACAGGGACCCCCTACAGCATAGCGACCGACCAACCAAACACATAGGTATTGATCTGGTCAGTGCCCATTTATCAATTCCTAGGTACACGAAGTCATGAAAACACGGTCTCCATGTACAAATTCGATATTAACTGAATGTTATAGTTGGAATAAATTATGTAATGAAAAAAAGAGAGAGAAAAAACAACATGAAAATTTAATCAAAATCTTGAAACTCGCTGGCGTTTGTAGACATTTTGTGTTTTAAATAGGTTATAGTAATGGTCCGCATTACTTAGATATTGCTCTTATCGGGTAAAGAAATCCCGTATAAAGCCCTTGTCAGATAAAGAGGAATATTAACAAATAGTGTAAGTATATGGTCCACATACGTGGGGCAATATAAAAAAAATTCATACAGTTAGACACGGTGATAATATTGTATACAGAAATTAATCACCGAACAGACACCTTTACCGTTGCTCGCAGTGGAAGTTATTTTACTGCACAAACATATGACGTCAACGTCAAAATAGCCATTATCAGGGACAACTTATATCTTTGTAAATAAATCAGTTTAAACTAGCTATTACTTGTCCACAAATTAGACAATAATCACAGATGAGATGAAGGATGTTAGAGAAATTGATTCGACACACGTATCGGTACAACATAGAGGTATAATAATGACGTTCACATATCAAAACATTAGCGATCCATAGGCGCTTATCAACGATAAAATTGTAGTTTAAGACTTTCAAAAGCAAATGAATCAGGTACGACCAAACATTCCAAAGTATGACCAAATACTCTAAACACTCAAATAGACATAAAACTGATTTAAAAGTAAACCACTAATACATTACTGATCCTTGGAAACATTTAATAAGAGTCGCAGTAATGACGTCACACCCATCAGGAACCCTGGTATACATTAAATAAAAACAGCAGTAAGGACGTCACACCCATCAGGAACCCTGGTATACATTAAATAAAAACAGCAGTAAGGACGTCACACCCATCAGGAATCTGGTATACATTAAATAAAAACAGCAGTAAGGACGTCACACCCATCAGGAACCCTGGTATACATTAAATAAAAACAGCAGTAATGACGTCACACCCATCAGGAACCCTGGTATACATTAAATAAAAACAGCAGTAAGGACGTCACACCCATCAGGAACCCTGGTATACATTAAATAAAAACAGCAGTAAGGACGTCACACCCATCAGGAACCTGGTATACATTAAATAAAAACAGCAGTAAGGAAGTCACACCCATCAGGAACCTGGTATACATTAAATAAAAACAGCAGTAATGACGTCACACCCATCAGGAACCTGGTATACATTAAATAAAAACAGCAGTAATGACGTCACACCCATCAGGAACCTGGTATACATTAAATAAAAACAGCAGTAAGGACGTCACACCCATCAGGAATCTGGTATACCTTAAATAAAAACAGCAGTAATGACGTCACACCCATCAGGAACCTGGTATACATTAAATAAAAACAGCAGTAATGACGTCACACCCATCAGGAACCTGGTATACATTAAATAAAAACAGCAGTAATGACGTCACACCCATCAGGAACCTGGTATACCTTAAATAAAAACAGCAGTAATGACGTCACACCCATCAGGAACCTGGTATACATTAAATAAAAACAGCAGTAATGACGTCACACCCATCAGGAATCTGGTATACATTAAATAAAAACAGCAGTAATGACGTCACACCCATCAGGAACCTGGTATACCTTAAATAAAAACAGCAGTAATGACGTCACACCCATCAGGAACCTGGTATACATTAAATAAAAACAGCAGTAATGACGTCACACCCATCAGGAACCTGGTATACATTAAATAAAAACAGCAGTAATGACGTCACACCCATCAGGAACCTGGTATACATTAAATAAAAACAGCAGTAATGATGTCACACCCATCAGGAACCTGGTATACATTAAATAAAAACAGCAGTAATGACGTCACACCCATCAGGAACCTGGTATACCTTAAATAAAAACAGCAGCAATGACGTCACACCCATCAGGAACCTGGTATACCTTAAATAAAAACAGCAGTAATGACGTCACACCCATCAGGAACCTGGTATACATTAAATAAAAACAGCAGTAATGACGTCACACCCATCAGGAACCTGGTATACATTAAATAAAAACAGCAGTAATGACGTCACACCCATCAGGAACCTGGTATACCTTAAATAAAAACAGCAGTAATGACGTCACACCCATCAGGAACCTGGTATACCTTAAATGAAAACAGCAGTAATGACGTCACACCCATCAGGAACCTGGTATACCTTAAATGAAAACAGCAGTAATGACGTCACACCCATCAGGAACCTGGTATACATTAAATGAAAACAGCAGTAATGACGTCACAGCCATCAGGAATCCTAATATACATCAAATGAAAGCAGCAGTAATGACGTCACAACAATCAGGAATCCTAATATACATTAAATGAAAGCAGCAGTAATGACGTCACAGCCATCAGAAATCCCATTTTTGTGATACCCCACTCACAGATCAGGAATCAAGAAAAAATACGCCATTTTCAAAAAAAAAAAGTGTGAAATACAAAAGAAAATTGTTGTAACAAACTTTTTAAATATTACGAAGTCTTAAAAACGGGTTTAATTAGCACCGTTCAACTTCTCTGAGTATCATCAACATGAAATTAGTTGTCCAACACAGCAGCGCCAAGCATATTATGCACCCAGAGTACCGATTTCCCATCAGCGTTTTTTCTCGGATGCTGTTATTCGTCCTTTTAAAACGCTACAATATCCGTCTGTATTTGAGAGTGTATGTAATATGATTATATCTTAATTGGTGTTCTTATAGCTATGTCATACTTTGGTTCTTTACTAATCAGAGTAACATATCAAATACCTTTGGAGAACACATTTTCCTCGTTAATTTTACATCAACATCTTACATCTTATTCTTAAATGTTGCATAGGACAAAACAGTGTTTCTAAACACAATTTTGCCAGTATCAACATTTTTTATCTCTGTTATACCCAGAAAGGAAAGTGTTCTCCAACAATACAGATTTCTAATATTGTCCAGTATAACTGCTGCACTTGCCTCTGACAGCTGACTTCGTCAACAAATACTTCACTTCCTTGTTCTAAAGCCATAAATTTTGAACTGTGCATAAGCTTAACCTTGTCCGTTATAAATAAACTACCTTTGCAATGAACATCTACTCCAGGTTGGCTTTGGCATGTCAACAAGCTGCAGGTATTAGGACTTATCTATAAGTGGGTTGTTTGTTAACATTCATTCTTTGTTTGAAATAAGATAAAAGGAACTGAGACCGTTGTAACTGTGTGTGCCTATCTAGCTATTTCATCTGTTTTCTTGTTCTGTTATAACAGGAAACATTTTACCGAGTTCATGACATCTGATTCTGATATCTAAAAACGCTGTTGTACGTTTGTTTATTCTGGGATCAGAAAAAAATCCGTGTTCTAAGTCATAAAAGGCACAAGCTCGTCAAGACACGACACCGTTTAGCACAAATATACAAACAGATATACAGAAATGAGTAATATATTGGAATCGATAGATATTTACATGTATATACAGAAAAGACAAAAATACATACATGCATACATGTATTGGCAAGAATTGACTATGTTGTAAATCATGGCTGGTTTCGTTGATAAAGGCAATCCATGAATTCATATATTCATGAACTGTTAAAACTAGTATAAATAGATTTATCTAGTATATCTATCCATGGACTCAAGTTTCCACGAAGTAGTGGAAATTTTCAATTCCTCGAAAACCCACGAAGACATAGTTTATTTTCCTCCCTTATGAAACGTAATGTCGATTATCATAAACTACTGGACTCGATACAAAATATAAAGCAGAGACAGCAATGGACAATGACG